AGGCATGCACCTCCCCCTCGAAAGAAAGGAAGGAAGGAAGGAAGGAAGAAGGAAGGAAGGAAGGAAGGAAGGAAGGAAGGAAGGAAAGAAGGAAGGAAGGAAGGAAACTCACAATCATCTTTTTATGTGGTTTTTGGACCATAACCAGTGGTGCTCAGATGTGCTCAGAGCTTGCTCTGTGCTCAGGGAGTGTTCTGGGATCATATAGGGTGCTGGGGATCGAACCCAGATCAGCCTAATACATAGTAAGATTCTTAGCTGCTGTACTCTCTAGCCCATACTCTTCTCTTCAGGAGATGAGCGACTCGCCTTGCATGCAGTTGTGAGGACCATAACCCTGGTTTTTTGAATCCCTGGTACCACATATAGTTTCCCTGAGAGCCACCAGGGGTCACTCCTGACCAGAGAGCCAGGAATAGCCCCTGAGTACCATTGGGTGTGGTTCCAAAACAAAATTCAACAAAGATTCAGTGGTGGTTCTTGTCCCTCTCATCTTCCTCCGGGCGTGATCCCCCAGTAGAAAGAAGTCTCTGAACCCAGAGGCTGACTTGGGGGGAGCAGGGGCAAGGAGAGGGAAGGTTCCTTCCCAGCCCAATCTTTCTGCAGAAAGACCAGGGTAGGGGCTGGAGCAATAGCACTGAGGGTAGGGCACTTGCCTTGTACACAACTGACTCGGGTTTGATCCCTGGCACCCCATATGGTTCCCGTAGTCCTGCCAGGAGTGATCCCTGAGTGCAGAGCCAGGAGTAAGCTCTTAGCACTGTTGCCCCAAAACAAAAGAAAAACCAAGATAAAGTGGCTCTCCTAAGAGGCTGCTGTGCCAACCCTCTGCTAGAGGATGTTGGCAATGCCACACCCCAAGGTCTCCAGCTCTTCTCACCCCGGGGCAGCCTAAAGACCTGGTTTTGGGACGAAGACTCTGAGACCGTGATAGCGCGTAACCCTTCCTCATGAGTAGAAATGGGGGATGCTAATGAAAGACCTGTGGCTGGCACCATGAGCCTTCACACAGGGCATCTCTACCACACCCCAACTTTCCCTCCATCAATTTCTTTGAACAGCTGTACTGAGTATTGTACACTTTACATGTATTGTACACTTTCTACGCACTGAAAGTGTACAATACATGTCTGCACAGTCAGCATCAGTAAATCACTGTATCACACATGATTTTATTTAAAAAAATATTCTAGGGCTGGAGCGATAGTGCCATGGGTAGGGCATTTGCCTTGCACGCGGCCGACCCGGGTTTGATTTCCAGCATCCCATATGATCCCCCAGCACCACCAGGAGTAATTCCTGAGTGCAGAGCCAGGAGTAACCCTTGAGCATCGCCAGGAGTGACCCAAAAAGAAAAAAAAATTTCTACCATCCCCTTCCCCCAGGCTGGAGCGACAGCACAGCGGGTAGGGTGTTTGCCTTGCATGCAGCCAACATGGCCAACCCAAGTTTGATTCCTCTGCCCCGTTAGGAGAGCCCGGCAGGCTACCGAGAGTATCTTGCTCACATGGCAAAGCCTGGCAAACTCTCCGTGACGTATTCGATATGCCAAACACATAACAAGTGTCACAATGGAGACGTTACTGGACCCGCTCGAGCAAATCGATGAACAATGGGAGGACAGTGACAGTGATCCCTTTCCCCCAAGGAACCCCCTCAATGCATTAGCAATCTCTCTTCTGCTCTTAGGCTCACAAATTCAGCTAGAGCATTTGCCTTTGCACCAAGCCAGATTTGATCGCCAGCAATCTGGTCCCAGCCCAAGCCCTGCTAGGCGTGATCAGTGAATGAGAAGTAACCCCTAAGCATTCTGGGTGTGGCCCAACCACACCCTCCTCCCCCATGGAGTAATGCTGCTCTGTAGCTCTGGGCGGACATATGCTCTCCTGGCAGAGATCTTGCCCCTGCCATCCCCACCTGCAAAGCATCTGAACAGTGATCTGGTGTCTTCACCTCCTCCCCTCCCTGGCCTCTTATTGTTATTAGTACTGCCACTACTGGGAGTAAAATGGCACCCCAAGTGATATCTAATTCCCAGATCAGTTAGCAAGTTTTCTTGGGGCAGGAAGGCTGGGGTTGGTCACAGCGGTGGAACTTTGGTTACTTAACTTCCAACCATTTCCCCCTTGGTCAAAATGTTACTTCATGGGGCCGAAGAGAGTAGAACAGAGAAGACGCTTATCTTGCATAAAGCCAACCCAGGTTCAATCCCCAGCACCCTAGGGTCCCCTGAGACTACCAAGAGTGACTCCCTGAGTGCAGAGCTAGGAGTAAGCCCTGGACACTTTTGGGTATGACCCTAAAACTAAACCCAAGAAAACCCAAAGAAACAAACAAACAAACAAAAAACACTACTTGACTGCTTTCTGAAAAAAATCTTTAATGCAACATACATGGCATTCAGCAGTGCTTCCCCATGTGGGCAATATCACCCTTACCCAGAGGCACTGGAGCAGGGGTGGGAGGTGGGGAGCAGCAGTCTCAGGTATAACTGCAGGTGCTTTATGTTTGTCTACTTAAAGGAGGTAGATTTTGGGGGGGAGGGGAAACACGTTGATTTTTTTCCCCTAGAAAAGGGGTGACAGACACCTTTGGGAACCTCTGATATACAGCATGTCATTCCTAGCACGAATGACGTGCTAGGAATGACCAATTAGCAACCAAACACCTCACTCTCTTCAACCCAAGGACTGAGACCCCTCTCTTTAGTCTAAAAGAAAGACCCCAGAAACCAGGTCAGGGTGGTTTTTAAGGACACTCCACTTTCACTTAGAAACTCGCTTTCTTCCTACATTCTCACTTTCTCATTTTCTAGCAGTGGATGAACCAGAGAGGCCTGAGAGGAGAACGAAAGTCATTTTGAGAAGGAAGCCTTTTCTCAGGCATTCCTGAAGGCAACAAGCTGGCCGGAGTGCGGAGCATGACCAGGAGGCAAAGAGGACCTGGGTAATCCCAGGGCAGAGGGGGCTACATTCCACATGGAAGCGACACCTCAACAGACAACAGTATCGATCCAGAGTGTCTGAAGGACGCCACCATTGGCAGCCCCTCCCCCACTATTGAAACTCAGCTATGTGCTTCCCAACAAAGCCACGGGAACATCGAATACCCAAGCAGGCACCGCAGGAAAGTGGGAGAGGAGAAGATGTTAGACAAGAGATTAGAGAGGGTCCTCAACTGTCTCTGTTATTATAAGAACCACCCTCTGTGGACACCCTCATTCCCAGGGGCTCTGCTTAGGCAGTCTGTAGCCACCGGCAGGAAGAAGGTAAACTCAGTTGAAATGAAAGGCACACAGAGAACACGGAGCCAGGAGGATGCCCTGAGCACCATCGGGTGTGGCCCCAAAGCCATAAAAAATAACTTAAAGAGGCTTAGTGGGGGGACCTTATGGGGCAATGCCAGCCTCTCTACATCTTCCTTCACCAAATTCGTGAACCCACACGCTGTCTGATTTCCATCTCGCTGCACTAACCTCCCCGTTCCACTCTCTTCCAGTGCTCAGGCCACACCCAGCAGCATTCAGGGGCTACACGGCAGAGGGCTCAGTCTCTCCCACGGGTGCTGGGGGAGCATGTGGAGCCAGTAAACAGGACTGCCTCCCAGTAAACAGGGCTGTTTAGGTGTTCTGTTCATTGGTAGGTTTTGGGTTTTGCTTTTTGGACCACACCCAGTAGTTCTCAGGAACTAGTCCTGGCTCTGCACTCAGAAATTACTCCTGGCAATTCTCAGGGGATCATATAAAATGCCAGGGATCGAACCTGGGTCAGACAAAACACAAGTGCTAGACAAGCACCCCTACCCTCCATCCTATGGCTCCCGCCCCAAGAGCTCTGCTTATGGGCTCCAAAAATACCAACACCGCCTTGCTCAAACCGCCACCACTGATTCTGTTGTTAGCCAAGATCCTCTGCTTCCGAATTTCCCGTTCATCTAGGTAGATCTCTTTTGCAGGGGGCCAAGGACGATGGGCCCTGGTTCCAGCCCTGAGCATGGGGAGTAACAGCCTTAGCGCTGTGTGCAGACCGTGGGGCTGGTGTGTATACACGCACCCTGCAACAAGCAGGCTCCCCCCCCATCCCCACCCCCCCCTGCTTCCAGCCAGCCCGAGGAGGGCTGTCCCTCTCTGGCGGACCTCCCTCCTTCGCCTTCTGCAAAACCCGCCCTCCACCACTCTTGCCTGCAAACATTTCAGAGTGCTGAGGCGGCCTAACCCAGTGTACTTAAACACACCAAACGGAAAAGCTGTTAAAAGTATTTTAAGAAGTAAAAAAGGGGGCGGGGTGGGGGGGGAGTAGGAGAAAAGAAGACCGAGAAACAATAGAACAGGCAGGAGAGCCGGGTAGAAGGAGCCGGTGCCGCACGGGATCATCCATCCTCCGGGGCGGCCCTCAGCCCGCCTGCCCCCACGGTGACTCCCATTCAGTGATTCCAGCTGGGCCCCCAAAATGCGGGTTCCTCAAGAACAGGCCTCCCCCACGGACAAGCTGCCATCTGAGGTCCCCCGCGACCTGGCCTGTCCCCAGGGGACTGGGTCACCCGCTGTCCGCCCACAGGGCTCCCCCATTCTCCCCCCCCGCGCCCTCCCTCCGGCAAGCGCGCCCAGCTGCTGGCTAGCGGGGCGCAGGGAGTCCTGCAGCCGCGCCCCACCCCCCGGCACGGGTTCGAAGCCCACGGGGCAGCGAGAAGAGGAAGGAAGACGAAAAGGAACTTTTCGGCCCGTGGTTTCCGTCCGAGGGCGGCTTTAGGCCCCAGATGGGTTTCTGGAAAAACTGCGGTCCCTGGAGGCGAAGCCCAGGTCGGCGAGTAGCAGGACCCCGGGGCGGGTGGGGGGCTCGGTTCCGACGCGGGGGTCTGCCGGAGCGGGCGCCCCGTTGGGACCCCTGGGGAGGTAATGACGGGGATGGGGTGCGGGCGGCGCAGCCCCCCCCACGTCTCGGGGGCACCTCGAGCCCCCGGGATTCCCCGCGCGCGCCCCCCGCTTCGCGCCCCGCGCTTACCATCTGCGCCACCTTCATTAGGGCCGGGTAGGTGCGGGGGTAGACGGAGTCCAGCAGCCCCTCCGAGGGGCTCCCGCCCGGCGGCCCCGCGCCGCTCTCGGGGCCAAAAGCACCGCCAGTGCTGCACGTGGTGCGAACCAGTCCGGCTCCACGGGACATCGCGCGGTCCCTGTCCTCCGGCCTCCTGCCCGGGCCTGAGGCCCCCGGGGCCAGATAAGGAGGGGCCGGTCAGGGGCGTGGCGGGAGGACGCCGGGGCGGGAGCGGGGCAGGAGGCGGGGCAGGACCCCGGGCAGGCGGCGGGCGCCAGGGTGGGCGGAGAAGGGGCGTGGCAGAGGCGTGGCTGGGCCCCAGGCGGGCGGAGGGAGCTGAGGTGGGCGTGTCAGGGGCGTGACCTGACCCAAATAGACTCACAGCGGGAGCCTGAGGGGGCGGGGAAGGGGCGTGGCAGGGGCGTGGCCGGACCCCGGGCGGGCGGGCGGCGGGAGCCCGGGACGGCAGGCAGGGGCGGGGCACAGACTGGCCCGGCCGGCGGACACAAGGGAGGGTAGGGCGCTGGGGCTGGCATCCGCCACTGAATAGGAGGCCCTCGGGTTCTGCACCAGTGCGGACCCTGGGAGAAACCAGCACCTAGCGGAAGGGTAGCGGCCGCCCTGCTCTTGGATGGCCCTGGAAGAGAGAGGGGTTAGGGATCCCGACTGCTGGGAGGAGGACACCCGACGCCCGGGGCCGGGGCCACTCTCTGCAGCGGGGTCTGAACCTCCTGGGACTTTCTATGGGTGCGGCTGCGGATGTGAGCCGAGAGAGAAGTTCTGTTAACTTCCACTCGCTAAAATGCCCCCACCTTCCGTGGCGCGCTCCGTTACTGCGTCTGCATGTTGCACGCCTAGCAATCACCTCCCCATCCACAACCTCAAGTTCGCCAATAGCCACCGCCCGCCCCCCGCCCTACTACCCGACCCCGCACTTCCCTCCTGCTCCCCCAATCCGCCAGTCTCAGGTAAGCGCACTATTCTGCTGTCGCTATAGATTCGTTCTGACTGTTCTTGGAAGTTCTTGCTGTGCTTGGTATTCTTGAAAGAAGGCAGAACGTTCTCATTCGTGTCTGGCTTTGTTCACTTAACATAGGCGGGGTGAGGGGGGGGCGGCGGCTCCCAGTCGGTGATCTGGTGGGACCACTCCCTTGGTAATAAATCATTGATCATCAATTGCCAGTGGCAGGGGTCATGTGCTGGGCGCCGGGGCTTCTTGCGTGCAAGCAAGACCTGCACTCCAGCTCTCTGAGCTATCTCCCAGGGGCCGACAATACCCACTTAAAAATTACTCCTCTTACATCCATTATGACAATTTTAGTTGGAATTTGTCCAGTCTGGATAAGAACTGAGAGTTGAAAGCTATACATGATATACATGATAGCCTTTCAGCATCTGTATCACAAATCATAATGCAGAGAGAGAGAGAGAGAGAGAGAGAGAGAGAGAGAGAGAGAGAGAGAGAGAGAGAAGCGCAGTTCCTGCCACAGAGGGAGGCTGGGGTGGGAGGGTTGGGGTGGTTTGAAGGGGTGGCAGCGAAACTGGGGACACTGGTGCTGGGAAATCACACCGGTGGTGGGATGAGTGTTAGAACATTGTATGACCAAAATGAAATCATGAACAATTTTGTACCGCTCTTACAGTGATTCAGTTTAAAAAAAAAAGAGGGAAAAATTCACTCCTCTTGGGGCCAGAAAGATAGAACAGTGGGTAGGGCTTTTGCCTTGCACATGACCCACCTGGGTTCTATCTGGGTGGGCACCCCATATGGTCCCCTGAGCACCGCCAGAAGCCATTAGTGCAGATCCAGTAGTAAGCCCTGGGCATAACTGGGTGTGCTCCAAAGACAATAAATAAATAAATAAATAAATAAATAAATAAATAAATTACCCTTCTCTAGTGTAAATCAGGAGTTTTAGTCTTTCCTTTCAATAGCTGAAAATCCCACTTCGCGAAACTTTTGTCATGGGTTGATGACCCCTGCCTGTGTTTCCGGTTGCTATTGCCCATAATGAATAATGCTCTTGTGGATATCATGGTTCCCACAGACTTTTGGTGGACGGAAGCTGTCATATGTTCCTAAAGGGGTATGTTTGTATGGGCTCACACATTAGAAGCTGTGGAACAAAGGTTACCCAGTGACATAGTGGGTTGCAGCTCCTCCAGGTTATTTTTCCAGTGAAGACAGGCCTGAACAGGGCCACCAGAATGACACTGTTATCAGAATCCCCTTGCACAGAGTGCCCCTGTGACAGTGCTCGTGACTTCACTTGTGGACTTCACTTATCCAAGAGCCCAAAGTCGACCTTGGGAAGTCTTGGGATATCAGCTATCTGACTCTTTGTCTGCAGATCTTCATCTCACTGGCCGAGGCCTGACACTTCTTGAAGGTGCAAGTACTCCTGCGGTCTCTGCCTTGACAAGTCCCCCCGATGGTTATGAGCAACAGTTAAGTTTGAGGACAGGCTGTGGCCAAACCCGAGACACTGGGGGAATTCATGACAGATTAACCTCTACACCCATAGGCAGTGGCTCGATTTTATGATTTCTCTAAATACTGACTCATCTCCTTAGATAATGGTCCCTAGGTAATTTCCCCTTCTCCAAGGGGCCTTCATTCAAGTCTCTAGCTTCCCCCAACCCCTTTTTTATTTGGTCACACCCAGAGGTGCTCAGGTCTTACTCTTGGCTCTGCACTCAGGGACTACTCCTGGCAGGGTTCAGGAAACCATTTGGGGTGACAGGGATTGAGCCCGGGTTGGCCACGTGCAAGGCAAGCCTCCTGCTTGATAGCTATCTCTCTGGCCCCCAGTTTGTGTTTTGACGCATTGTTCCACCCCATCTCCCTGTGATTCAGTTATGGCCGGAATCTGAAAACCCCTGTCACTCCCGCTGTTCACTACAGCAGAGACTCAGGTTTCTCTGGTACTGTGCCACAGACAAGATGGGGACTGGAGAGGCCGTACAGGGTTAAGATGTTTGCCTCATACATGGCCTACCTGTTTTGATCCCCAACACCACCTATGGTCTCCTGATTCCTGCCAGGTGTGATGCCTAAGCACAGAGCCAATTGTACGCCTTGAGCACCCCTGGATGTACCACTATCCCCCAGACCCTGCAAAAGGAGCTTGAATAAGGTGCTTGGCTGTGTGGAACAGTATACTGGCCCAAATGCAGAAAAAGGCTTCACAGAGCAGAATTGCATAGCCAACCATCTTGACATCCCAGTGGAGTAAGCCCTGTCTGTGTGAGGGCTAGATCAGGGATGTCCTTCAAGATGTCCTCTGAAATTGGCCATTCATTTCAGCCATGAGGAACAGATGAAAATTCAAGTATTTTTAAGTTCTGGGGCTGGAGTAATAGCACAGCGGGTAGGGCGTTTGCCTTGCATGCAGCTGACCTAGGTTTGATTCCCAGCATCCCATATGGTCCCCCCGAGTACCGCCAGGAGTAATTCCTGAGTGCATGAACCAGGAGTAACTCATGTGCATCACCGAGTGTGACCCAAAAAGCAAAAAAAAAAAAAAAAAAGAATTTTTAAGTTCTTCTTTTGTCCACCTGGAGGGGTACAGACTGAAGGGTTCTGAACAAGGGGTCACTGTTTGATCACTGCTGATTATGACTACATGATCATGGCCATATTTCTGGTTAGAGATAATGAAAAAACACCGAGAAGATGAGTGTTCACCCTGTATTAACCACAGTGCCCAAATGACTTTGGGTTGCAAGTGACAGAAATTAAACAGAAGCAAAGTAGAATTCATTGCCTTGTGATAGTGGTAGGAAGAGGTGAAACCTACTTCAGGCATGGCTGGATCCAGGTGTTCAGGTCAGGCACAGTTCAGGATTACTGTCTCTTGGGCTTTATTCTCTACTGGTTAGGTCTCCGATCCGCAAGCTCCTCTCACTATCCCTGGTGGCACAGGCCTATTGCTCTGCCTTTCTCTTTAATTTCTAAGGACACTTCTCCAAGGGTTCTAACATAGTATCAGTTAGCTTGAGGTGCTTTAATAGAACACAAGAAGTGAGTTATCTAACCAACTTTATTTACTTTCTCACAATTCTGAAGGTAGATGTCCAACATCTAGATGCCGCAAGGTTGGTTTCTGGTCAGGCCTCTCTTCCCGATTTGCAGACCTCCTCCTGGATCTTTCCTCTGTGCTGGGGGTGGGGTGGGGTGGGGGTAGAGGGTGGAGAAAGTGATCTTGGAACTCTCTTCCTTCCCTATAATGATACCAGTGAGTGTGGGTGTGGGTGCGGGTAGGGGCGATTCCCATTGGTCTAATTACCTACTAGGCTCCACCTTCCAATCAATCACTATATCCAGAGAAGTGGGACATTTCTAGTGGTTAGACCAAGTTCTACCTACTATGGAGTCTGACAGAATCATGAGAACTGAGTAGAAGAGGGCCGTTTCCCCAGAGGAAAATCAGGGTGCATGTCCCAGAAGGGAGAATGAATCCCAGAAGGGCAGAGACATTTTCACGCAGAAGCCTGTGGGCTTCTCCAATGGTGCTCCAGGGCCTGAGGACTTCTCCAGTGGTGCTCCACTCTCCACCTGGCTGTGTATGCCTGACCCCTTCAGTGCTTGCTGCTTGGGCCCAGTAGTGATGGGGACCCAGCAGTGCTCAGAGGATTATTCAGTGCCAGGCATGAACCTAGAGTGCTACACTTGAGTGATCTGGCCTTTCCCAGGCTGGGTGCTCTTCCATAACATGAACACTCCATAATTTATCAGTGTCTGATAAACATTTGATTGTGCCCAATTTTGATCAATAATGAACAGTGCTTTATGAATATTCCTGCACGATCTTTTTATGGCTGCATGTCTCAGGCATCAGAGAGGGATTGTGGGGAGATAGTACAAACGCTTGTTAAACTTTGCAAATAATGCACTGTTTTCCACTCCCACAAGCAATGCAGGAGAAATCCAGATGCTCCACACCTGGCCAATCCTTGGTATTGCCAGTTTTTACCAGACAGTTCTAGAGGGTGTGGTATAACACCTCATTGCACTGTTAACTAGAAAAAAAGTATCTACTCGCTTTACTTTCTAAAATTGCCTTTTGTTAACCCTAAAAGAATGAGTAGCATATGTAACCACAAACTGCTAGTGAAAACTATAGTTTAACTATTGCCTCACCATTGTTACCCTAGACACTTGCTAAAACACC